GCCTAGATGACACAAAAGCTCGCTCTCCAGAGGTATTCTGATACCTAGCTGTTGTTCCAAACTGAAAATGTTTGATCCAATCAGTTGCTTGAACGTCTGAACTGCTCTCTCTCTGCTAAGCCGTTCTGCTGTGACCGGCCTGGTGCCGTCGGAAAACTAGATAGGCCTGTTACCGGGCTCCCTTCTGCCTTGACGGCATTTCGAAACAGCGACTGAAGTGCAGCTTCTGAGTCGCTGACCAGTTCCATTTGCTTCCCAGTCAAACCTGCCTCTTTCAGAAGCCTATTCAACTGACGGATGTTTGCATCATAGTTCGTGGGATGCATTTGCATGGACAGGATCATACCAGTTTGAACGACCAGCAAAACTAGCCACTTGACTTGACCTAAGAAGCAAAATTCTGAAGCAACTGCGTTCCGGTTTCGTCTCGATTTCAGTCGACGTGCGGGCAAACGACCTGCTGACGTCACGCATGCTTGACATGAGGAGAGGTACGGGGTGTGACCTCTCGACAAATAGTGAAAAAGATCAACTTCATTCAAATCTGGTTCCTGTTCATCTTCGACTGGTTCTAGGCCTGGTCCCTCTTCACTGTCCTGTCTCTCATCTTCTTCTAGAAGCTCTTGCCCTTCCTCAAAACGTGGTAGTGGCATGTCCTCATCGTCCCCTATCCAAAAATGTTCTGTTTCAACATCTCCTATGTAGTAGTACTCAATAGGATAGGTTTCCTCACACTCGCAATACTCCTCTTCACCTGATGCCTCTAGTTCTTGTTCCTTCCAACCTGATGCTTCTAATAGGGAGTGACAAGTTGTCTCAACCATCTCGTCCGTGAGTCCACGGACTAAGAAATTTAGCCTCCCCACGTAACGTGCTTCTTGGGGCACTCGCTCTCTCCCGTTGGCCGACACGAAGGCGGATCCGATCGACGTCCGAGCACTTGACTGCGGTTCAACCTCCTCGCCTCCTATGCCTTTCTTCTTAAACAAAACGACAGGTGACGCAGCTTCCCTTGACTCGTGCTGACCTTGCTGACCTATTACGCCTTTCGTTAGACAGCCAACTGATGCACATGCCCTTGACTCATGTTCACCTTTCTCACCTGATACGCCTTCTCTAGATAGATTCACAGTTGCAAGCACTTGACTGGGGCCTTCTGGAGTCCTTGGGGCCTTCGAGACTTCTACGGAGGCCTTTACTGGTTCTTTCCTCGTCTTGAGGATTGGCTTCAAAACACTCTGAGGATCCGGACATCCAGTGGGCCGTGTGGGAGACACAGCGATTGTGTCTACTTCCATGTGTGTTGGTGCATCCTGTCTAGCTTTCTGTCGGTTCTGTTGCTTCCTATTGTTTCCTCCTTCAAACGCAACACACCACCAAGAACGATCATCCAGATTCAACGACACGTGCAGGTCTCTCAGCTTGAGGCACGACGAACCCTTCTCGAACGACAACCGAGTTTCCCATCCGGCGTGCGACAAAGCATAAGGTGACAGAACGTTCAATGGCAACTGGGCAACAACACATCGGGTAAGCCTGAACTTCTTCAAACTTTCCTTCCGACCTTGGAAGCAGTTGAAAAAGATCTCAACGTCAACGACTCCCGAGGTACGAATCGGCTCACCGTTCGCGGCTTTCAACTCACATGTGACCCTGTGTTCACAAACAACATGGTACAAGTGAAGCTGCTCTGCTGAGATAATGTGACATGTTGCACCCGAATCCACCAGCCATGATCCTAAAGCTTTCTTGGTTGTGCGAAAACACTGTTCGTGAGACATGGCATGTTCTGCCGATAGAACTGTCTGACTGGAAGGAATGCATTCTAGCGTTCCTTCTGACAAGTTCTTAAAACTTGCCCTCAAACTCATCACAATGGCATCTTCCTCTGTGGTGTCTCGCTCTGGCTCCGACATGCTAGCTTCCAACGTGCGGTCCATTCGGACACGACAGTTGGAACGGGTGTGGCCTTTCTTTCCACATCTAAAACACACAATCTCTGACTTCCCCTTTGGGGACTGACTGCGCTGTTTCCCCTTGCCTTTGGCCTTCTCGGGGCAATCTTTGGCAAGGTGTCCGGCCTTACCACAACCAAAGCAAACACCGGGTCCACGAGAGGTCGAGCGATCTTTCCCTTTGCTCTTGCCTTTCGACTTACCTTCACCTTTGTCACCTTTGCCGGCCTTTCCATCTGACTTTCCACCTTTTCCTTTACCTTTGTCTTTTCCTTTCGAACCTTTGCCTTCAAGCAAGCTGACCTCACCTGTTACATCACTCATCACTCTGGTTGAGATGTCATACTCAAGCAACACGTCCTTGAGGTTCTTGTAAACTTCCATGGCTGACTTGTGAAAGAGCGAGACGTGAACACGCACCTGCTCTGGCAATGACCTCAGCAAAATCATGGTTCGATCTGCTTCTGGGATTTCTAGTGAGGCACGCATCGACATGGCTGTCGTCGGTGGAATACTCGTTGGAATAGCCCAATTCGACAACAACAAATCATACTGGTGCAATTCAATGTCAACACTTCTCACAATGTCAACCAAACTACGGTCACGCGACTGAAACCTCAAAGTCTGTTCCCTAAAGGAAAGAACTTACCCGTGTGCTTCACCATATGTTGATGTAGTGTCCAATCACGCCTTCAATCTTTGTCGAACCTGAGAATGCTTGGCGAATGAAAGACAACAACTTCAAACCTCAACTTCTGTTCACTGTTCAACATTCGAATGCTGATTGCATTGTCGTGAGTGACGCACTCCCTAACTTCACGCGGCCACACTTCCCCAAACAATGCAATCCAGGAAGAAAAACTCTCAAGCCAACTCCTGTAACCTAAAACTTCTGCATGCCTAGACTTCCAACTCTTGTGGTCTGCAACTGGCATGGGCACACCAAAAGGTAACTTTCCGTCACCTAGTGCTCCTCCGGTGGTAGTTGCAGACACACTTGGTGGTCCTCCTGCTGGTGGAGGTGGTGGGATCCCTCTCCCAACACCAAAACCTGTTGAAGACGAAGTCGGTGCTGCTGACAACCGTTGCTCTAAATGGTTCATACGCTCCATCATCATCGACAACAAGCGGTCCTGTCGCTCTGCAGACCGGGAAAGCATATCTAACAACCTGTCTGTGGTTGATGGAGTACCAATGCCGAAATGTTGGGGCCTTTCAAAGGCAGCTCGGGCTTCTTCCTGTGCTTCGTCTGTTTCCTCTCTACGTGCTCTTGCTTCAGCTTGCTCTTCGAACATCTCTCGGGCCTCGTAAAGTGCAAAGGGCGTCGTCTCAAAGCTTGGTGGTGCTGTGAACAACGTACCAAAAGCTGTTGCTGAACTAGAGGACTGTTCCGAACTTTCCATGGCGCCAAAAAACTAAAGAGCCTAGGAGCGCTGTGGCTTCGCTACCATGTAAAGGTAGCAAACCGCAACAACAAGCGCGCTACCACACGACGCGTCACGTCCAAGATCTATTTAGATCTTTTGTTCTCTCTCCGGGCTTGAGCCACATTTCGTGGCATATTCTTCTTTCATTGATGAATTCTTGAATTCATCTGTACAAGTACTGGCTGTTTCTCTTTCACGAAAAACACTCAAAAACTCATAATTTCAAATCTACACATTATGAATTCACTTCTTGGCTGGATTCCGGTGGTTGTTTTTCCAACAAAGTCCAAACAACAGCGTGGGTCGTGAGAACCGCTAGAGGTAAGCACAGACCATCGGGGACACATCGACTTGGATCAATACTGCGCAGAGATCGATGTCACGGATTTGCAGGCATCCCTCAGGGATATTCAGCCAAACACAAAACGCGTGCACAAGCAAAGACAGGTACCCAAGTGACGTGTCAACGACATGTCCAAAGTGCAGCCTGTAAGGGTGCTCACGTGGAATCCAAAACCACAGATGTACACACAGCTCAAACGCAAAGCGCCAAGGTGAACGCCAAGCAGACAGAACAGGAGTGTGCAGAACTCCAAAAACTTGACTTGAATCAAGGTTCAAAAATTGACCGTGGTCAATTCAAACTGTTTCTGTTAGCATATTGGGCAAAGCAAACTGGCGTCACAATCCTGGTGCGAAGTGCGTGTCGTACAGTGCGTGTGTGGCATCTATCATATCTGTAGTTCACTATAATTCAACAAGCTCAAATCCACAAGTCAGCAAATTGAAATGCAACGTAACGCAACGCATTGCAAACAGTGCAACTCTGAAGCAAACAAACTGACATGTTCGTGCAATGCATCTGTGAAACACTAAGTTCACTTCTGATGCTTTCTGACCTTTGTCCGTACGTTCAATGCAGGTGGAAACTGTCAGGACTGAATGTATTCATTTCCAATCCTTGTGTACCAGGGACATTGGGTGAACACAATTTTACCAAAGGACAACGTTCCAAAGACAACAGTTCAAGGTGTTCAACATCTATTGTAACTCTCCGTGCGCATCTCACAGGAACATACAGGAACTGAGTTCGGTACACTCTGCACAGCAAGTGGACTTCACGTTCATACGTGTGTGCAAACAAAAGTTGACATCTGCACGACAAGTCATCTAGCTCCAATGACAGTGAACGAGAACTAGATAATTCTCAAGATCTTCACATGTAGTGAGATCTACCCAAAACACTTCATAGATTGCAACTGAACGCAAACGAACATCAAATGCAGAAACCAAATCTGAACATGCAAGGTGAAAACGCTTGAAAGGAAAATGGTTTTGGTCACACAGTTCTAGACACAGTCCTCGAGGTTTACACTCTTTCACAACCAACCCACCCACCCAAACCCAAACCCAAACCCAAACCCAAACCCAACCCAACCCAACCCAACCCAACCCAAACAACCAACCCAACCCAAACAAACCAGCACACCAACCCCCGAACCCAAACAAACAAAAACAAACAAACAAACAATCAAACAAACCTGAAAAATTCTTCCCCAAAAACATCCCAAAAACCCACGCCCTTCCTCTGCCCAAACCTCCTCATGGCCCGAGGCTCATGTACTCGCCAGCTCCGCTGGTGGCTGAAAAGCGCACCACCCCTTGGCAGCCATCGGTCTCCGAGCCTAATCGCACCTGTGCAGGCGACGCCGGTAAGGGAACCGGTGAACGGCGCCAGGGTCTCTTGGCACTTCCGAGAGAAAACCATGATCCCATGGCCGACCTCCTTCACCCTCCTCGTCTCCTCCCCAACCCCCTACATCCCCCTACCCCCTAAACGATGCATGACCCAGCACCCCCAAAACTTCGCCCTGCGCGGTCCCGCAGGGCACAACCCGCGGTCCCGGCGGCAGGCCTTCAAGGTGATCTCGTCCACCCAGAGCGACTGCAGCACCGCGCCGTGCCGGGCAACGAACTCGCCCAGGAAGGACTCCAACAGGCGGAACAAATCCATGGCCGCCTCCGTGCTGCACCGAAGCTCGGTTCAGTGCGCGGTCCGGTCACGGCCGAACCGGCTGGGCGCCTTTGGTATACCGATGAAACACGAAAATTCCGTCGGCAGTCAGCCGTGTCTGGGCGGGAAAACGGGCAGAAAAACCTTGGAACATCTTGGGTTCCCCATGTGGAAAGCATCCAGTCTTTTGTTGTGTCATGTCGTGTCCTTTGCCACATCCTGAGCCGTCAAAAAACCGAGCCGTAAAAAACCGCCGAGTGACGATCTCCGCCAGGGCGGTGAGGTTCAGGAACAAGCGTCCTGGCGGCCAAGCGTCCCGGGATGTTTGCTGCCAAACCCTGTGCTGGTACAAGTACATGTCTGTGAAATCATCATGGAAGTGAAGGGTATGGCCCTGGAAGGGTGATATTTGTCCTCTACAAACAGGTGGTGCACTCCACTTCCATGATTTCTCCAGGGAATGTATGTGTATGTTCATGACCTGGCGAAGCCTATCATCGACGGAGTCGGTCTCCTGCTACAAGTGCTATCTGCATCATATACGATATAATGATATAAACTTAAACCACAAATGACACATGAGTACTCAAAAAATCAAAGAACCACATGAGAGTCAAGGTATATCCAGAGTGCCACAGCCAGAACTCCGCGCAGAAGCCGCGTCTCGTGATCGACCTCGTTTCCACGACGGCCAAGCCGGCCCGGCCGCCTCGCCTTCGCTGCCCGACGCCTTTGGACTCAGCTTTGCACAGTCCATCTCATGCACTGCTGCCAACCTGAGAGCGTGAGGCGTGGGAACGAGCCCTGCAGAGCCAGAAATGAGAGAGCGCGGCGCGGGAGGGTGTCATGCTTGATTCAGTTTGGCTTCCTCACATCATGCATGTATCAGATGCTCAAATGCCCAAAGCATGGATACAAGTTGCAAGTAGATGTCAAATATCAAAGGTGTGGCGCAAAAACAACAGCTATATGCTATGCAAACGTGGCAGTTCGCATGCGGACACATATACACGTGCACCATGTTTTTCAAGCCGGCGAGGCAAAGTAAGTTCAACAAGTCTCAGCAGTCCTAAGCAGACCAAAGCCACAACACTCAGCAAACTACTTTGTGGCACAAGTTATTTTTTGTATTTGACTGAGAAGTCCTGCGGGCAGTATCGCTTAACTTGTTCAAACACATGGACCTCGTCTTGCAGACTGCCTCATTGTCAAGGAAAAAGCTTCTAAACACAAAAAACACACCATCCCAGGAGTCTTTGGGGGGAGGGGATTGCCAGACAGTCTCAGAAGCTTGCTTATATATACATATATATATATCTTTGTTTGTGTGTTCTCGAGTGATTTTTTTCGTTTTGGGGACGGGGGGGCGATCAAAGAGTCTCGGATTGTTGTTGTTTTTATACTCCAACTCTCCGTGGCATTTCTTTACACGCATTTGTTCTGCTGCATTCAAATACAGATTGTGCACACAGCAACCCCCTGGCTGAATTGTTGATTCTTATACATTGTCTGCTAGTTTCTTATTAAGGTCTTGGTCCTGTGAATCACATACTTGGACCGCTGGTCTGAGTTTTTGCCATCCGCCTTCCAAGCAGTCATCAGGCATGCACGAACATGCGGTGGTTAGTCACGAGCACAGGTCCCGGGAAACAGCAGCTCTGTTTGAGAGTCTCGGCGTGCAGGGAAACGAAAGAAATTGGGGTGTGTATATAGACGTATATATGATTTTGTACAATTGTATATAAGTCTCAAGCAGGTTTCTACCAATCCAAGGTTTCATACACCCGAGGCCAGTACAAACAATTGAACACCACATGTTGAATGCTTTATTTATTTTTTTTATTTATCAGGACTTCAATGCATCCGACATCATCTGATTCTGACCGTCTTTGCCCTTTCAATTGAACTCGCTGGGCTCGAGGATTGAGGATGAGCTGCGTCCACATCTGAGTCTGGGCTGTTCTCTTCATCAAGGCTTCCCTCTGCACAATCCCTGTACCACAGCTCCACCGGAGCCCAGGGAATTTCCTGCGAGCCCATGGAGCCGAACTGGCAGTTGTGGCCGGTCTCCTTCCCCTCTTTGACGGTCATGTAGAAACAACGGTCGAACTGGGTCGATGACAAGGCTGCAGCGCATGCAAGCGCTTTTCATGGCAAGACGGGGGTGTGCGGGGCTGGGCAGCTGTGCTTCTAATGTTGGAAGAAACAGTGGCATTCCAAACATAGTGGCCTCGCCTTCCGTTTCAGGGGTGAGGTGCGCCAATGAAGCTTTCTTGTGCTCTTCGATCTGGGCCCAGCTGTTCTGCTTATTTTGAGAGAACGGCATGCGCCAAGCAATCTAATCAGCAACTGGATAAATTACAATACCATCACAATCCTTTGGATCATTAGCCACAATATCAACAAGCGCAACAAGTGTAAACAAGTCATCATCAATCTGTCACCAACACTGCCATCTTGCCCTGTCTACTCCTCACCAGGTGCCTCACCACGCTGCTTCGCCTCCAAAAACACCAAAAACACCGCCCACACCGACACAACGCCCCTTGGGCTCCAAGGTGCAACAACTCCTCCAAGCGCGAAGCCCAGCTGTTGCTGACCGGGTGAAATCCGATTCGGCTGTGTGACACCGAGCCTGGAGCGCGTGCGGTGTCACCGCGGCTGAAACCAGTCCAAGCCATCCATGTGTTCAGTCGGCCCGGGAGATGAGACCTTGAGACCCTCTGAAGTTCCCTGCAAAGGACAAGTGAATACTGCTCGACCATGTGGATGTTCTGTATTTCACATGTATGTGCATGGTGAACTTCATGGGTATGGGGTCCAAGCCTCAACAGGTCGACATGCGCCCCTCTCTCTAGATCTCTGCCGCATAAGATCGCATAAGTTATCATATCAAACACTTGTCTTCTATCGTATTCTAGTCTTTAGCTGTGGATGTACCGGAATCGATTGCTCGCACTCGCTTCATCCCTTTTGTTCACTCCATCTGCCCAAACAATGCCTCCGGCCACACCGGCCCTGCGTGGCGGTACGTCCCACACCCGCAGCCGTACGTCTGCCGGGCGGCGCACGTGGACGACCTTGGCCTTGTCGTTGCTGGTGAGGAAGACTTCGGAGATGGGATCCACAGAAGTGACCTGTCGCAAGGACTCGCTCTTTGTCTGTCTCTCCTCTGATCCTCTGAGGGAGGAGAGAAGCAGGATCTGCATCCGGGATAGAAGAAACAGGACAAACATGGTGGTGATGCTCAGGAGCTTGGGTACTTCTTTCAGGATCTTTCGGATCTGGGGGAAATTCTGGGGAACGAAGTCAGTTCACCCTGTCAATCTGTGCAAATCAAAGAAACTGGCAGTTTCTGCCGGGGGGAACACAGTGAATACTCGGACTCTTTGTACAGCTTGCCGATGTCCTTTTTCAGAGTTTCACTCCCATCATCCACTCAAACAACCAACAAACAGGACACGAGAGGACACGAGGATCGAGACGACAACCCGCACTCATCAAATTGGAAGTCACCTGGTCTCAAACAAAGCTGGAACCACCTGGAAGTGGAACGCAAATGGAATATCCACCATCCGCCACGCAAATGGCTCAAATGTCTGGCCATGCCCAGGTCCGCCACTCATGCGCAACAAAGGGTGCAGCCTAGGTCAGCCCTCCCAATCATCCTCCTTGTCACAAGGGTCCCAAACGCATGGTCCCATGTCGAACCAGCTCTCCACCAGCACCGTTCCGTCGAAAAAAACACCGCTCCCCCAAGCTTGAGCTTCCTGGGCGTCCCCGACCGCAGGCATCCTTTCCAAGTGGTTGGCTGACTCACTCAAGCGTTCCACCTGTTTGGCACGGGTGGGGGTTCCGGCGAGGCATGAACCGCAGAGACCCGAGGTCACGGGGAAGACGCAAAGAACCCTCAACCCGAACGGAGGGAAAACGCGGCCAAAAGGCTGCTGTGGATGGAAAAAGAACACACATCCAGCTGCAGGCTGGCATAGTCTGAAAAACCTCCACATGCCAAACCCATGGGGACTCTACCATGAAGGCTTAGAAACTCATTCATTCGGCCGAGACCAAGAAGAGCGCAACACGTGTGGATGTTGGAATTTTGCTGTCACTCTTGCCTTTTGTGGGATCCTACTTTGACCTGACCGGCGTGACCAGAGGGAAAACGGAGCACGCTGTTGTTCTCCGGGTGGCTTCTCGTAGGGGTCTCCGGGTCGATCACTCGTATGATCCAACTGAACAACCACAACCTGTCTTCTTCCAAGAATGGCCTCAGGTCAGGAACTCCCATCTCTATATGTCTATCTAGCCTTCAAAACTTCCCACCTTCAGATGTCCAACCACAGGGCGCCGAAAAAGGGACGCATCGTTCCAGCTCACCCTCCGTCACCCAAAGGGGCCCATATCTGTTCCAATATCTGTCCATTCCACCTTCACCCCCCGGAATCCTTGTGAAACAAGCTCCCGGAGGCGCAACGCCGTGTTGCCCGGTTGGCACATGCGGACCTCCATGAGACAGGGCAAGGCTGGACTCAAGTCGCGGAGGCTCGGCACCTGCTGCGCTGGCGCTCGACGGATGGGACGGACGGGCAGGTCGAGGGCGCACAAAGAAGATCAAGTGAATTGAAGGAGGTGAAGAGAAGAGAGTGAAAAAGAGTGAAAGTTGGGCAGGTCAAATCTTTCTGTCCAAAACTGGTTCCGTGGATTGTTTGAAACAGGTTCTTTGCTAGTTCAGGCACAGATCACTGGGCTGAAGCCAGAAGCACACGCTTTTAGTCAAAGACATTGGACACTAAAAAGACAAGTCTTGTGTTTCAATGCAGCGCTATGCGGTTGCGCTGAATATATTACAGTATATGTTCTGCTTCAATATTAGTACCCTCCAGCACCCGCGGCCAAGAAAGCTTATAGCTAAAGGATCTCTGCGACAATTGAGGTGGTGTGACAACCCTTTTGTACGTAGTGTCTTTGCAAAGTTCTCTAAAAGCAAACATGGTTGAAGAAGAAATTAACTGACTGGTGCTTAGTGAGGAATAAAGGAAGTTTTGCTCCCAATAGAGATTCCGTTGGATCCAGCCACCCTCATTCCCTACGACATGCACCAGTCAAAATTACTGCCCTGGGCCCTGATTCGCATTGAAGCCTCTGGGTAAACCTGCCCAGTACGCAAAGGTGCTATGGTGCCGAGCTGTTTCCTTCGGGCCTCAGGCCTCCAGTGATAGATGGATATCTGATATCAACGGTCAACGCTTTATAGGACTGACAGTGCAAGGGTAGGTCATAAGCAATTCCAAACCACAAGCACCGCCAAATACATCATACATCCATATGTACATAATTGTATGAGTATACGCTCTGCATACAGCTGTGGCTTCTCATGGTGTTTTGGGTGGTCTTCTCGGCTGTTTGGGGGGCACGCAACAAAGTCTCCGTCGTCCACACGACCCGCTGCAACGCCGAAGGTACCGCGTCCGGACCTGGCCTCGGCCCAGCTGGCTCGCTTCGCAAAGAAGGCATAGCCTCAGTTCTTTTCAGGTCAAGCGCCTGTCAGGTCCTTTTCAGCACCAGTTCCAAGCTGGAGACCAGTTGCCGAACGGACCCAAAAAGTCAACCCAGGCCAGTTGACATCCTAAATGCAGGGGTGGGCGACTTGCAGAACAGGTCAGATTTACTTCTGTGGCCCTGGCACCATTCCTGGAGGAGGTTGGTTCTGGCCGTATCAAAGGCCCCCAGTCGCCTCTGATTTCTGGAAGAACTTGAGCGTTTTCGGTGAAAACCTTCGGGTGCCAAATTGATGCGGAATCCGAGGGTGCCTGACCCAGACCCATGAAAATCCAAACAAGAAACTTGTGCATGTGACGTTATTGCCTATCATGTAGCGCTTCCTTTCTCCTACTTCTGTGTTTCTCCTATTCCGAAAGAAGAAAACGTGAACGCAATGTACCTGATAGCCTGCTGTTTGATGCTGGTTCCCCATGAGGCTGTTCAAAAAATATTCTCCTATACCCTTTCCTTTCCTGTTCTTTCCTCAATGTCTCCTTTCCCTCTCCTTTCATGTCCCTCTGCTTTTCCTATCCTTGTGTTTCGGTTCCTTCCCTTCTCCTTTACCTTTCCTTCCCTTTCCTTTTGCCCTATTTTCCCATCCCATGCACCACATCCCGGCAAATTCCCAAAGCGGCGACCGTTCACTGAACAAACATTCGCTTACACCATGTGGTTGGTGTGAGTCCTCTTGAGACTTACCCGTGTCAAAACAGATCTTGGCTTGCTTCTTGAAGCTTAACCATCAATCCAGAAGGTGTAAACACCCCACTCTGAACTGGCTCCCTTTGGAGGATGGCCAAAGAAACGGACCTGCTCTTCCTCCCTTAAAGCCACCCTTTAGATCTCCCTAGATTCCACAATCGACCACAGATTCATCACAGTCCTCAGCTTAATCACAATTCAACATCTGAACATGTTCCCCTTTTTGTGGTCAACCCCCTTAAGCCTTAGGCCTTGGCGTCTTCCCTTGTATACGTTGGTTGCTGAAGGACTTGCCATGCTCCACACTAGACTCTTCAGTTCAAACAATCCCAAGAAACCCACGAGATAGTTTCATACTATAAATTGGCTTCAATGAATAACTGACTTTATATAATGACTTTGTTTATTGGCTCCAATTAGAGTATTCACGGGCTTATAATCATATGTCCTTCAGTTCCAATTCCGATTGTATTTCGTCTGCGGCATGCTCCGCAAAGCAACGTGGTTCATCGCCGTTGCTGCCCAGCGTGGTGGCCTGTGGCAATGTCCAACCGGTCAGTGGTTGAGGCACAATTCTTTCAATCAATATCCGAGTCGAGGAGCAACCAAAAAACACACATGCATGTGATTTTGCCTTCAGAATTGTTTTTCAGTATAAAACTATATATGTTACTGCTCACTTTTGACACACAACAAAAGTCAGCCACAACCAGCACTGCACCAGCAAAAGCAGTTCACCAGTTTAGCCCTCATCCAACCCCCGAGCGGTTTGGGCCAACGTTGGCTGGTTTTGCTTCACGGTGGTAGCCACCGACGGGTGGTCTCCATCCTGGCCATCGCATGAAAGTCTTTCATCCATCGTCCTACAGTTAATTATATACTTTTCAACTCCCCTCAGGTCTTGTGATGAGACACACCCCTTTTGTTCTGGGGGGGTGGGGAACCAACCAACCAACCAACCAACCAATACTCCCCGTTTTGTTCTGGGGGGTTGGGGAGTGGTTCCGAGGCTTTTCGGTGTTTTTTCTTCCTCCTCCGAGCCGAGGCTTTCTGTCGCCGAAACGGCTCCACCCGTGACGCCCAGCTGCATGCTTGGGCAGCGTCAGCAGGACCTCCGTGACGCCCAGCGCGCTGAGCTTGGCCTCCACCTGCGAACAAGCGAACGGTGCCAGAGGTCCTGCTGGGGAAGAAACGGTGCCAAGAGATCTGAAGTGAAACATGTGGGTGTTAGAAGGCATATTAATGTATATATTTAATATATATATATATATGCTATACAGATGATAGGAGACCCCCCACAAAAGTTGTTGGAAAATCCAAGAACCAAACGAAATCCGAGAACCAACGGTCCCCCCTATTACATGTCTTCACATCCATGTGAACTGCGAACACCTGCTCCCGGTCACAACCAATATGGCAGTCGTTTTTGTGTTCGTGTCTGGGTAAGTGAACAGGACAGGACACGTCCGATTTGGGTTCTATCATGTTCGTCCTCAGAATTCCGATTGGTACATCACTGGTGCTGGGGGACGGTGAAGCCTCTAACAACACCCAAAAGCGGCAATGCAAGCATGGATCTGATTGAAACGCATGCAGCTGCAACACGTGAGTGTAAGAAACCCAAATTAGGAGCCAAGTTAGCAGTGATTATCTACATCTGGTTGTGTTTGGTGGTGAATGCTGGTCATAGTACCTACATGGATCCTCTGGGAATGACAAATCACAAGGAGTCTTCAACGTTGGCGATCCATTTTCGAATGACACAAGACCATAAACACTGGCAGTTTCCACATGCAGTCATACCGACCGGATAGAACGATCCAAGCTCATGTCATAATTCGGAGTGCAGGAGGATCCTCTGCAAAAATACTCCGCAGAACTCCCAAGCGATCCTCGAGTTCCACAGGCATCCCACGCTGCCTGCCGCAAGAGCTGATGCACTTCTCCAATCATTTGGCTAAATCTTTCCTCGTTGCCCGCCACTGTCATAGCCTTGGATCGGAGAAGACGCCCTGGGTGGGATAGTCTCAACTGGCACATGCTGATGGTGACAATCCTGAGTATACAATTCCACCAATCTCCACTAGTCACTAATCCAACATGGCCGCCCGCCGTCATCATTACTTGCAGCGGTCTCAAAGACCTGGGAGTATTCGCATGGATTCTGGCTAGTGTGAGGCATTGGTTTGCAGCATTCCAATGAATGATGTACCTGGATGTACGTAGACGGCTAGTATGATTCTGTATGTATCTGTCTGTATCATCCGCAAAGAATCCGCCTCAGGTCGCTGGTCGCTTCGTCAACCCCCAAAGTCTTTGAATCTGGAACTGATTTGTCCAGAAACTGGAACCAACCCATGCTGGAAAATTCTGACCCATCAAATAGTCTGGAACAAATCAGATAGGGGCTGGATGTTCAAACACCCGCCACGCCACAGCAATACAATAGGAATCAACAAGAATCTATGACCCCTATTGAAATTATCCCCAATATAAATGTATACTCCACTGTAGTTTGGGTGTATCCTAGTACCAGCAACAGTGGATGATGATGGGGCCTGGTGGCAGGCCTTTCTCCAAAGGAGTGATGTTCTTCTTTACCACCTGCTACAGGTTATTTTCTGGGAGAGACCCCAATTATAGCAATCATCTGCCAGGACCCCCAAAGGAATGTGTTTTGGAGGTTTTGTCTTACATAAAACCAACCAAAAAGCATCCATTTGGGGGTGCTGGTGTATTTCCAGTGTATTTCCGAATATCCCACGGATCCGTTCTCTCCTTTGCCGCAGAGTTACCTCATCTCCCAGGAGGATCAAATGGAGCCGACCGGCTTTAGGCGCTTCACCTGGAGCGTCCGGTGTCGTCGATGTCAGTGGTCAAGTGAGACCCTCCAAAAGAGCCAAGTACGTCGCTCATGAATAACTGCTGATGCTTGATCCTTCTTAAAATTCTACTTGGAGACAAACATCGGCATCTCACCCATGTCATGTTGAAAAACAGAGTAGAACGACACAAATCCCCAAGGATTCAAGTTAAGGTTTGCAGGTGAAATCCACCAACATAAATTCATGTGTCCTTTATCTCCTACATTGGTGGCTGTGGTGTAACAACAGGACTCCCAAACTCTCCCATGTCCTCCTTTGAATCAAAAGGAACATCACATTTACATGCTGTATCCCCCTTGAATGAGGAGCTGGCTGTGGAGGATCGACATGTTTATAGTGTCTCATTCTAGTTCCATTAAACATCACAGTCTTTTCCCCAGACAACTCACTGGTTCCAAGTGCGAGTGACCGACAGTGACTGGTGGGTGTTGGATGATTGGCCAACAGCCCGTGACTCAGGAGGCCAACACCTGCTCGGGGTCCCAGTCGAGTGTGTTGATACATGATACCCACAGGGTATCAAACAGCTACTGAAGATTCTTTGATTGCTCTATGTTGCTCTCATTCTCTGTCCACGGGCCGGCTCTTCGCCGTCGAAAGCGGTCGCTGCGCCTTGGACGTGCTGCCGCAAGAGCTCGCCCTGCAGGTAGCTCTTCAGGGCTGCCTGGATCTGCAAGAACACTTGCGCCAGGGCACACAAGCCAGGGCACACCGAGACGGTGTCGTTTCGTGTCTCGGTGTGTCCAAAAACGTGGGAGGCCTTCCAAACTACTAGAGGTTTTGAGTTGCTTTGTCTTATTTGTGGAGGGTCTTCGGTCTTTGGAGGGCCTCCGGACGAGTTTCAGGCAATCTGAGTCTCCAAGTGAAAATATAGACTAGACCCCAAATAAATAGATGGAGATAGATGGAGCAAATCCCCACTAAAGATGTATTGGACACCGTTTCCAGCTATTTGGGGATCCATCTACAGAAGGTGAGAAGTGCGCTACTTTGCTGTTTTCTATCTCAGCTGCATGGTCTCAGTGCATCTGGGCGGCGTAGTCTGGGAGGACCTTGGCTATGCCTTGCCAGACGGTCATCGCCTTCCCATTGGGGATGCCTTGGCCATGCAGGTTGACATGTTCAAAATCAGACTGCATGTCAGTGGAGAAGCCGAGCCCTATATAGCTCCCTCAGCTGGTTACCACTCACCAAAGGCAATTGAGTTTTCATGTAGCGATTTGCTTGGGGTAGTGACCTGTGAGCTGTCTAATTCTTCTATGGTCCCAGGTTCTGACACTGATTCAACGTCCAGAAGTCCCCAAATGCCAGACGTCGCTGCGCATGCCACATCGGATGGCTCCAAAAAAAACCATACCCTGGGGTTCCTGGCCCATCTCGGTAACCAAACGGGTCAGGAATCCTGATATGAATCATGTATCTTGCAAACAGCAAAAACGAACATCTGATCTCTACCAGGACCCCCAGGAGTTGGGTGGTAGACATGGACACCCCGAATCACAGCCTTTTGGGACTATGTACATATACACCCCGACAGGAGGGTCCTGGTATATCCCTCTATTATACATCTACCTGGAGTCTCAAGGTACCTTGGAAAATTGGTACAAGTACCTGCTTTTAAGGGATCATGTCCCATTTTCTAAGGTACTTTGGAGGGTCCAGGTATGTATAATATAAGAACCGCTGCTTATTAAAACCTTGTAACATATGAATTCCTAGGGCTCCTGGCCCGTGACATGATCGAGTCTTCCCCTTTTCTTCTGCTCCTGGACACCTGCCAGCAGTTCCATGTCCCAGGTGCCTGGGGGGTGCCCTGAAAATCCACTCACCACTGGGGTCCTGAAACCAGGAACTGCTCGTACCAGCACCGACTTCACCGGTCACCAACTAAAACCTGTTAGGGCCCTTCCCAACCCTCCATTTCGGAGACCTGTTGGGTTCGGTGCTGGTATAAGGGTTTGCTTTTTCTTCGGTCAACCCCCGGTCAACGCGGCCACCGCCCGGTCAACGCGGCCGAAGTCGCCGGGGTGGCGGAACTTCCAGCGCGCTTCCAGGGTCTCCTGCAGTTCCACCCACTCTACCAGTACACAGCCACACCACCTGGATAACTGTATATATAAAGAAAATACGAAAGATTTATAAATAGTGTAATTTATCCTGAATCATGATATCCATTGATATCCCACTCCTGGTGCATGCTGTTCTTGTTATCATCCCGTCCATCCCACCGCCTGCCAGCGTCCGCATTCATCCCATCCCAAGCCAAACATCCCCCCTCACCTCCCCACCACCACCTCCCCGCCCAGGTCTCTGGTCTCCGGTCTCAGCGTCGGTCTCCGGTCCTCCTTCCGCTCCAGGCGAATGCTGGACTCCTTGGAGACGCCGAAGGCGCGATAACTCCGCCGGAGCAAGACCTGCGCCGGACGATCGCTGGAGACGCACCGCGTGGAACGCGGAAGTTCCACGAACGGAGGCGACAGCTGTCGGTGTCGGTGTCCGAAAGCAGGTCGGGGGTCTGAAGGAACAAGTACCCAGCTGGGTAGGTTTGCCAGGTACTATTGTCTTTTAATTAAGCAACTTCTGTCAGGGTTAAAAACAATATGGCTTCCCGGATCTTCCCACATATTCCGCTTCCTTACTTTCAAGCTAAAGGTTGTTCAGTTTACTCCATTTCAGTCTTCCCCATCTTTGACAGCAAGTATCTACCTGCTCCGAACAGGCCAACAGTGCCTCTGAATTCATCCCAGGCCACGGCCGTGGGTTTGTGTTCGGGCCACCGGGCCCACTCCATGTAGTTTGAAAGGCCTCCAGGCAACGCGCCCAGGCCTCGACCGGTGAGAACCCCGGCGTCTCGCGCCTCCAAGGCCTTGAGTTGAAGATCTTTCTGCGAGAGCCTCGGTGACGTGGCGAAACGCGTCCAGTGGAGCGTCCAGTGGCCCTTTGTGACGGAGTACGGAGCGAAACAAACGAAGACAGAAAGGAGTGAAACAAATTGAACCATGTTGAAACATCTACCAGGGGAGAACTATAGATATATATATATAATAAGATGTCCATGCATGTAATCTAAAATATCTAATATAATAAGCTTCCTAGTCACGTCCCACAGGTGGCTTTGGAATCGTGACAAATAAATAGGTGGAGGAGGAGCAATCTTCAGAACCAGAAAAGAAGGTGTAGCTCTTCTCCGTAGTACTCACTTATTTGACAGGTTCTTAGTAATTAGGGAGTGGAAGAAAGACCATCAAAAAACACCCACACACACATCAAAAATCTCCATGTACAAATTGTGTAAACACGTGTGTATATCTAAATTTATATCAATTACAGGAGGTTCAGGTCCCCAAACAAAAGCTCGTTATAATTGCTCTTTGAAAAGACCTGGCACTGGGCTTATATACAATATACAACCTACTTGCAAACCCGGAAAACTGGCTGTTTTTTGGATACGTCACACTGAACATCCTTGTCTGACCCCCAAGCCGTTTCCCAGGGAAAGAAAGATTCACCAAACGTTCCACCTGTTTCACTTTAGTGAACGAGACAAAGAACATCCGGCGATCCAGAAAAATCTCCCTGGGGTCAGGTTGTTCCATCTCGCTCCGCCTTCTCATTCCAATCAGGTGGGGACTGCTAGTAGATCCGCCCCTTCCGGGGATCCCTCCGATCGCCCCACTCCGATCTCTCCACGTCACGCATGCATCAACAGGTTGCCGCCCGCCGCGTGGGGCGTGGACGTCACCAACTTGCCGGGGTCGGTGGCCAGGCCCAGCTCGAGCGCCTGGAACGAGAACAACGCGCCCAATAAATCCGAAAAGGATTGCTACAATGTACAAACTATATCAAGGAGTAGATATGGAACACTGGAGTTGGATCCTGACTTGAGTTGAGTGTCTAAGTCCTAAGATGTCCTAAGTACTCGATCGGTAACTCAGAAAGGATATCTGATGCACGCTGATGCAAACAGCATGTGACTCTATAATCACAGGCTCTCTTTGTCAACGATGGATCATGAATCATGATGTATCAACCACTCCAGTAGCAAATTTATGTTCAAACTTTGTCTAGAGTCTATATTGGAGCGGTTTCAAAGGAAATTCCAAGACTGACTTCCTCAGTTTCCCTCCAAAATAAAGGCGGCTAACCAAACTTTCCACCCGTTTCTTGATGAGGGGGGCTGCCCCAATCCCCCCAAAAAGTTGCAAGGTTGTCCACGTTTCCTGTGTTGGTCATGGAGTCTTCATCCTCTTTCACCTCTTCAAATTCAGTGATCCCCAATCCCAAGTGGGATTGAGTGAATCTGAAAGCAATACATGACACGAGACATTGTAAAACCTCACAATATAGGCATTTCAGCACCTTGAAAAAAATCACCTGGCTGGACGCCCCAGCCCACCACTATCCAGGATCTCGAGACAGGACACCCCTTTTTCAGATTCAGGATGGTTTTTCGTATTTCCTGATACCTGGAGCCCTGAACACTTTCTTTTTCAGGTGCCAGGTGCGTCCCAAAATATCATCCGCTGTAAAGTTTTTGCGTGCTCAGGTCCTGGAGGGACACTTGTCAAGAAAAGTCCAACACTATGAGAAGAACATGGAAGTATTTAACAAAGACAAGAGGCTTGCATGGCCATGCTAGATGTTTGATCGTGTTTCCCAATGCCCCATGTCAATGCTGCAAAAAAAACGGCCATCAGAGGTAGGGAGCGCAAGTAATCAAAACCGGATGGCTGCACAGCCACAACAACCCTAATCAATCACCAAAACTGCCTTCGCCTGGATGGACATTTGGAGGGCCCTGGGTTCTTCTTGTATACACTCAAAGAAAAGTTGACCCCAGCAAGCCCTTCCCCGTTGTACAAACTTACAAACTGAACCAAGCCTGGAATCATGGACTTGCTGGGCCAAGGTTTCTTTGGGGAATTAACTCGGTGAGAACTTGCTTTGGTGGCAAGTGTCTGCTTGGCCTCCAAGAACTTAAGAGGTTCAGGAGCGGTATTGAAGGATTTGGCACTCTTTTGTTGTGTTTCTGTAGAAACCTACTCATCCACTGCGCACAAAAACCAAACGCCAAATCCTGAAAAACGGCGCCTTCACTTAAAAACCAAACGCCAAACCGACGCCATCACTCAAAAAACAGACTCCGCGCCAAAACCGCACCCAAAAAAACGATGCCAAAAAGGTGTCTTTGGGTTTGAATGACATTGGGCCTCAGCCTCATGTCTTGTCAGATATTGACGGTGTGGGACGTAAGTTGTCATCACTTTTGGTCGGGAGCGTTGATGTATCCTTTAATGTATCCTCTTGTCTAGTCATGTTTGGTAATTAGCATTTGGTAGTGGATGATTTTCTGTTTCAACTTCAAAGAAGCTTGCCAAGGAAATGCACACTGTAGTCGCTAATTAGGCCATGACAGAACTTCAAAGCCGTATGGGGAGTTGTGCGTCCCTTGATGAAGGTTTGCTATCAAGAGGAACAATATTGAGATGCCCGCGCATGCTCACAACCTTTGAAGCCCGTGTTGAAGGTCCCCTGTCGGAAAAGAACACTTTGCACTTCCAGTTAAGACTAATCCTTTGGTGCTTTAGATGCAGGGTTTGAGGCTGTTTCTACCTTGAAAGAAGCTGGGAGGTCTCTTCTTCCCTTTGAAATGGTTTTTGGCGAGATGTGCCCACGTAGGCCCTGAACTGGTTTTTGAGTGAAACCCAAAAACTTACTCACGTGAAAAAGAAGCGTCTCTCGAGGGTACAGGTAACCTACAGGATTCCTCCATCGATGTCAACCCCTTCGTTTTTGTTAATTACTTAAAAAACAAAAAATTGGTGGAAGGTTAAGGTGCCAGGTACCATGACTCAAACATCTGGAGAGGTCAATGAATGGCGGGACCGTGCCGCTCGGGGCGTCTCGCCTTGAATCGCTGTGTCCAGGGCTCCCCGGTGACCTTCTGGCAGAGGCGCCTGCGCCAGGTGGCGCGCTTCCGCCGCAAGGAGGGCGGTGGCCTTCCTCCAAGAACGCCGTGGGCTAATATACCCAAAGACTCACACGAAAGGACCGGGTTTTCCAAGGAAAAAACAACACGAACAACCTCGAAAACCAAACACGGGGGGTACCTTCTGAGGTTCCGAGGAATCGGTTCTTCAGCCGATGTGGTTCGAACCAAAAAGAACCGGTCCGTTCACATCAAGCAATCCCCAGCGGCAGGGTGACGTCGACTTCCTGGGTCGGTCAGGAGACACATCTGGCCATTCCCATCCGGGCTCCAAACGGCCCATCTCCTCAGGTGACCGGTGGTCTTCGACCCTGGCACCCACCCCAACCACCTTCGAAGGCCAGGGACACCCTTCTTTTTCGACCCCTATACCTTCCATTTTGACCCTGTTGCCTTGGAAACCTTCCTTTCGGACCCCGTCTGTGGTGAAAACCATCCTTTGTGACCCCGCAAATAAATAGGCATAAATAGGCTCCCCGTAGGCCAGGAGCCCTAGGGATTCATGTTCTTTGCCGAAGGGTGGGTGGGATGATACATGACGATGCGAAGTCAGACTTGTAGCATCTTGTGGCCATGCCAAGTCAGACTGTGGTGAAGCGGAACGCTGAAAGCTAACGGGAGGAAGGATTCACAGAGTTTGATGCATCACCAAGTTCTCACAACTGGAATCTGACATCTGCATTCCTCTTCATGAGTCCCCACATCCAAGCACTACATGTATACAGCAACTCTCATGGAGGAGAATCAAATCCCCAACATATCTGGAACTTGGGTCTATACTATCACCTGCAACAGTGGATGATGATGGTTAGTAAAGGCCTTGTTCAAGCATGATGATCATTGTTTACTGACTGTTACAGGCTACAGGTAATAGGACAGACCCCATCTGGAACTTTCATGAACTGGTTGATGCTTTCAACCCACTTGAAAAGCATTAGTCAGAGGCTCCAATCATCCCCGAGTAAGGGTCGACCATAAACATATCCGGAGATCATCACCTACTTTCTGCTTTCGTTTCTCTCACCCCAATCATGGCACATCCTGGGGCCCATTTCTTCGGTTCGTCTCGCTCATGTCGCATCCGGCCCCTCATGTCGCATCCGTCGGCCTGGCAGCTAGTAGCACCGGCGCGTAGATGGAGGTGTTTGGGAGTTCAGAGAGCTCGGTCAAGAAGTCTGAGAGCTTGTTCCTTCGATGGGCGCGGTGGGATCGGTGTTTCGTCGATTGAGGAAAGAAGCATCTAAGCATCTGAGTACCATTGACATAGCCTGCCCAACGGGCCCAACCCTACCCAGTTGCAGGGAAAGACACATTGCTAACTGAGTACCCATTGCTAACGACGTTCATTATTTGGTGGAGGGGTCAGTCTATCTCTAGAGCCCATTGGATCCATTGCCCATGAGTATCTCCAAAAACATGTATCCCAAAATCAGGTGTTGAACCTGCTGTTCCCGAACCAGCCAGCGTGGCCGGGCTTCCGTCCGACCCAAAGCGATCTGGGTCCCTGATCACTTTCCTCACCCAGCCGATCTCTATCCAGTGTCCAGCCCTCACGACAAACCTCTGGTGTGCGCACCGGCCGAGTGTCCAATTGCCTTCTTCCCTCACTGATTGCCACAGCTTTTGCGACTTGGCCCGTGCCAACCAACGCCCTTCCTCCGTGGCATCCTGGACGTCTTAGCGATCCAAGAGACGGTCCGTGTGGCTGGAAGGGGGTGAAGGGAGCCTTTGCTCAGAGTAAACAGTACTACACATGGACCGCCCAAAAAGCGCCCAAAAACATTAGCTTTTAAGGAAATCGTAGGTCGGATCCGGTTCCAAGTGTGTTTTCGGATGGGAGGACACCGCTCTGATGACATACACTCCCGGCACCAATCCCAAGTCTTGGGAAGACTGGGCCTTTGGGCCATCGGTTCAAAATGGAACAGTCTATACTTTGTCTGATCCGGTGAACGCCGATGTGAGCGGGTGGCAGAAGACTCAAGTGATGGAAAAAACCTTAAATGAGGGGAATCCACTTTTTGGGCAAAGAGGGAGCCAGATGCAACGGAATAAAAGGACCTGAAGCATCCTAAATCCAGAAGAATGCTGTGTACACAACAGTGGTCTTTGGGTCCTTACTGGTCTAATAAATACTGGTCGATCACATTCTCACATTATGGCATTGTGGTGAAGTCGACCTACCAAGCAGCTGCTAGACTCTGAAGAAAATGTCAGCTGATTGACACTATGGTTGAATCAATTCATATCAATTCTGTCATGCTCCTCTGCCAACAAAGTCAACCAGCCAATGTTTCAATATTATCAAAGAACAACAAGGGGCAAAACAACCAAGTAGCTGCATCATAACCTGTTCATCAGTTTACTGCACAGTTTGTAATTCATGGTTCATGATGATAGACCCCATCTTCAACACACATCATCCAAACACCCCTTCAGCACTCCTGGTTCAGCACATGCATGCTCACAACTGGGTTACCCTTCGTGGACATCCACCATCACTGCGCATCCACCCATTTCACCTGATCACCTGATGTGCTTTTCAGGGAGAGCAGTCTCCTGGCTGTGCGAGTTGACTGTCAATGAAGAAACACCCCCGTTTCTCAAGATGTGAACGACTTCCCAACGCACCAAGGGTGCGTTCTTCATGAACAGTCCACCTCATCTGCTCCAGAAAGTAACTGCCACCTCTCCTCCTTCCTGAGATCTTCCGACTTCTCACCACTCCCTTCACCACCACTCTTGGATCCCGCCTCTGGCGCCTTGGCGTGAGGCAAGGCCTGCGAAGCCTCCAAGCCCTGCAAAAGCTCTCCAATGAGTTCGGAGCGCCATGCCGCCACACCGTGGGCGCGCAAGGAGCTGATGGCCTCCTGAAGGTGCTGGAGCCCAGCTGGAGCCCAGCTGGAGAAAGCAGGTGTTCAAGTCACAAGGAGAACAAGCGTCTGACACGTTGAGCATGTGGTGTTAACTGGTCAAACAAATAAATCCAACGGGATCTTTGATCCTACAAACGAGCTCTTCATCGCATCCAACCTGCCGGTGGTTCATCCTTGACAAGGACGCATGGGTCGACCCCAAAAAAGAGCTTAAAAGAACAAACGCTCTGACAGATCGGGTACCATAGATCAGTTTGTCATCCAAGAGATTCGAGTCTATAGTGACTTTTTAGGTCAGTCTTTACGTACTTTGTATCTGTTTGAAAGAAAATCATTCTAATTTATATATCAAATGAGGGTTCCATTTCAACTATAAACAATAACTACCTGTGAATCCTCGACTCTACTTCTGTATCTAGACGATATGACATAGACTTTGCAAAAAGGCTGGGAGGCTGGATGTGGCTGGTGGAGTAGTTCTTCCTACATTAACTTGATGTCAACCGCCGTAGGAGAAGGACACTGAGAAGGACCCCACTAAGAACACCTACTATGTCAATGTTCCATTCATTTGGGGTCCAAAAACATGATGGCTCTGATTTCTGGCTTTCAGCACGGTCCCATCCATTACGGTCCCATAATATGATAAGAGGGGCAACCTTTTTTTTCACCCTTCAACCCTTTTTTTTTCACCCCACCCTTTTTTTTCCACCCTCCACCTTTCTTTTTCACCCTCTGAACCATTTTTTTTCACCCTCGAACCTTTTTTTTCACCCTCTACGGGTCAACTACGGGCTTTGCGGCTGCACATACGCGGCGTGAAACTAACCGGAGGTGACATCGTTCTCTGCGCAGGTTCCAGGGGTTACCTGCTTCGCCGGCGGAGGGTTGAAAAGAAAGGGTCGAGGGTGAAAAAGAAAGGGTAAAGGGTGAAAAAAACAAGGTGAAGGGTGAAAGAAACATGCTACAGGGTGAAAATGGCAGGGTGCAGGGTGAAAAAAACAGGTTTTCGAAGGGTGAAAAAAAAGGTTCCACAGGGTGGGCAAAAAAACATTTTTGAGGGTGAAAAAAGAAGGTTTCGAGGGTGGAAAAAAAAGGGCGGGTGAAAAAAAACTTTGTTGAAGGGTGAAAAACACAGGGAGCCTCGCGTCCCGGCGGCGTCCGGGTCAGTTTCCGCCGGTTCGCGTCGTTCCGGATAGTCTCTGCGCAGTTTCCGGAGGGTTCCGAAGGGTTCGTCCCAAGAAGTTTTGGAGGTGACCACTACGGGTTTTGCGGCTGCACATACGCGGCGTGAAACTAACCGGAGGTGACATCGTTCTCTGCGCAGGTTCCAGGGGTTACCTGCTTCGCCGGCGGAGGGTTGAAAAGAAAGGGTCGAGGGTGAAAAAGAAAGGGTAAAGGGTGAAAAAAACAAGGTGAAGGGTGAAAGAAACATGCTACAGGGTGAAAATGGCAGGGTGCAGGGTGAAAAAACAGGTTCCACAGGGTGGGTAAAAAATGATTTTTGAGGGTGAAAAAAGAAGGTTTCGAGGGTGGAAAAAAAAGGGAGGGTGAAAAAAACATTGTTGAAGGGTGAAAAAAAAAGGGAGCCCATGTACAAACAGCCCTGCACAATCATTGGCGGACTCGGCGGTCCGTCCTCCTCGGACTCCTGCGCCTCTAAAACCTGGGCCACGGTCAAATCCGCACTGCAGCCCGCAGCATACGCTTCTGCAAAGGGCCGCTCCACGCTCAGGTAGCGTTCCTGCAGATGTGGGCAGGGTGTGCTTACTTGTGGTCGGACTCAGTAGTGGGGTGCTATTGGAACTCATGTCAAGACATGAATTTGGAAGGCATGAACGACGTGCTTATCTTTTTTGACATACGGTTCTACATGATTCTACTAGTTTTAGTCTACAACCTGTTTTATCATCTAGTTCTCCCAGTGTCCCTAAGCTCCAAAGATATCACCTCAACTGAAGGGACATGAAACCGGAGCTCGAATCTTCCCAAATCACAAGGGGGGACTTCACCCGCCCCCCTCCCACACTTGAGCATCACAAAAACCAGTTGGCTCCCGGTCCATCGCCCCGGCAGTCCAGCGCGGTGAGGGCGTGCTCCAACTTGGTGCCGATCTCCTCCTAGAGACGGGGCCATGCGTGGTCCTTCCGACCAACGCTCCAGCCTCTACATCCACCAGTTGGCTCTGTTCACGGGGTTTTAGAAAGAACGCAAGGACACTTATCCCCACTTCTCAGGCAGCGACCGACAGCCACAACATAGCACCACACATCCATTGTGGACAGCAACAACATCCACCTCTTGTAATTGCAATTTGACGATCATGATCAATTCTGCCTCCAAGACTTGCCCCCCCAGGCTCTTCCCCCCAAAACACCTCTCCATTGCGAGCGCTTTTTTTTGCACCACTTAAAGGTCTCTCCTCCGCGCTCAACAACTCCTCTGCCAACTCCTTGGCACTGCCCTGCGCCGCATACCCCTCCAGCGCCAGCCGCACGCGTCGCGCTGCGTCCGCGGAGGCGTCAAAGCTGCCGGGGTGGCCCGACACGGTGCGGGCCAGGGCAAAGGGGCCGGTGAAAGGCTCCAGCTGCGGAGCGCTGGAGGGGTCATCCAAGTGGAGCCTGCAACTGTGTGACTGGGAGTCGGTGGACAGAAGTAGAGTTGCTGAAAGGGCTTGGGTCACACATGTTGATGGGTGCGTTTTCTTCCAGTTGTTGGCAATGAATCATAGAGCCAGTCTTCAGAAAAATCAACAAAAAGAACGACTTGACTAGTAGAAACCAAACTTGACACCGACCGGCATGTAAAGGGAGCAAACTATTGCTCTTTATTATACCATGTGCAATAGGAAGCCCTGTAGTAGAGTCAGCCAAGGACATTGCTTTACTCAAACTCCGATTTCAATTTGAGGAACAGCAACACATATACACCTGTTTGGCTTCGTACTCAGGCAGGGAAAGTTACAAGGTTGTGGTTCTCCCCCACCAAGGAAACTCAGATTGTGCTGGAACTCTCGGTAATCAGTTGAGACAAAAGTTCATGGTTTCATGTTGTTATTTGTTCAGGAACCTTCATACTGCTGGATCAGCTGAACACTCAGCAGCCGTGGGGACCATGCTGGCACTGGGGGGGCCACAAGCTGTACAGGGCCCAATTGACCCAGACGCTGATTTCAACCAGTTTCCGTCCATCTCACAAGATGAACGATCCGCAGGCCAAGCATTGGAATGAGATGGAGAAGTCAATCGCAACTTGTCAGTGACAACAATCTTGGCCTTGTCATCGTTGTCAATTCCGCCAACCGAAATGCTCATTCTACCCTACCAGCTCCACAGCTCAAACAATCGTGCCCTTTTCCCACCACTCCCCATAGCTCCCCCCAGGGTTTCTCCCGCGTATTGGCAGCGTTTCAGCAGCTTTTC